ATGGGCAGTGTCAGGTGAGATGACAGCTTTGGCACATCCAGGCTGCTGCTGGAATCGTGGTTTCCATCAGGGAAAAGTGACGTAGGAAACCTCTGCTTTCCACCGGATTAAACATCTGAGAATTAACAATCGCCTCCAACTCCGTGTCAAATCCCTCCTCACTGCTTCCCACCTTATCAATCCCAGCTCCTACAAAGAAAATTATCTTTCATTTTTTTTCTTTTTTATGCTTTAATCCTCTGCTCGCTTAGCATCAATTAGGAATTACCCACTTTTTTCCCCCCTTTATTTTATTTTATTTTATTTTTTTTTTTTTGGCCTGTCATTCCATCCCATTGTGCTGCAGAGCATGTGAACTGCTCGGTGGCACCGAGCCAGAGCTGTGACTTCACTGTCCAGATGTCTCGTCCCACATGGCAGTGACCCTTTTCCTGGTGACGTCAGCATTGATGGATGTGTTTATTTATTTATTTTGTGCTCTCTCTGTGTGTGTGTGTGTGTGGGCTCGGGGCCAGGTTTCTTAGCATGCAGGCAACATCATTCTGCTCTGTCTGCTCCATCCACAAAAACAAAACAGCTCTCAGAGCACTCTCTTGGACCTTTATCAAAAGCCACTTATTTAAGCCTGGAATTATGAACTATTTCCCCCCTGGCCAGACACAGTCTGCCTGTTAGAGGGAGAACAAGAGATTAGGCTGGAAACGAGCTTGGGTGTTTCAGGAGGGCTGGAATATGTGCAGCAGGGGAACACTGAAACTGTGAACACCTCAAATATTGGGAAATCCTGATATGGGGAGGAAAAAGAAGAAACAAGTGGAATTATTGAGATTTTACGGCTCAAATATTGGGAAATCCTGAAATTAAGAGGAAGAAGAACCAAGTGGAATTATTCTGATTTTACACCTCAAATACTGGGAAATCCTGAAATTGGGAGGAAAAAGAAGAACCAAGTGGAATTATTCTGACTTTACACTTCAAATACTGGGAAATCCTGATATTAGAAGGAAAAAGAAGACCCAAGTGGAATTATTGAGATTTTACACCTCAACTACTGGGAAATCCTGATATTAGGGGGAAAAATAAGAACTAAGTTGAATTATTCTGACTTTACAGCTCAAATACTGGGAAATCCTGATATTGGGAGGAAAAAGAAGAACTAAATTGAATTATTCTGATTTTACACCTCAAATATTGAGAAATCCTGATATTAGGAGGAAAAAGAAGAAACAAGTGGAATTATTCTGATTTTACACTTCAAATATTGGGAAATCCTGATATTGGGAGGAAAAAGAAGAACTAAGTTGAATTATTGAGATTTTACGGCTCAAATATTGGGAAATCCTGAAATTAAGAGGAAAAAGAAGAACCAAGTGGAATTATTGAGATTTTACACCTCAGATATTGAGAAATCCTGAAATTAAGAGGAAAAAGAAGAGCCAAGCTGAATTATTCTGATTTTACACCTCAAATATTGGGAAATCCTGATATTAGGAGGAAAAAGAAGAACCAAGTGAAATTATTCTGATTTTACACCTCAAATATTGAGAAATCCTGAAATTAAGAGGAAAAAGAAGAACCAAGTTAAATTATTCTGATTTTACACCTCAAATACTGAGAAATCCTGATATTGGGAGGAAAAAGAAGACCCAAGTGGAATTATTCAGACTTTACACTTCAAATACTGGGAAATCCTGATATTAGAAGGAAAAAGAAGAACTAAGTGGAATTATTGAGATTTTACACCTCAAATATTGAGAAATCCTGAAATTAAGACGAAAAAGAAGAAACAAGTGGAATTATTCTGATTTTACAGCTCAAATACTGGGAAATCCTGATATTAGGAGGAAAAAGAAGAACCAAGCTGAATTATTCTGATTTTACACCTCAACTTCTGGGAAATCCTGATATTGGGAGGAAAAAGAAGACCCAAGTGGAATTATTCTGACTTTACACTTCAAATACTGGGAAATCCTGATATTAGAAGGAAAAAGAAGAACTAAGTTGAATTATTGAGATTTTACACCTCAAATATTGAGAAATCCTGATATTAGGAGGAAAAAGAAGAACCAAGTGGAATTATTCAGACTTTACAGCTCAAATATTGGGAAATCCTGAATTTAAGAGGAAAAAGAAGACCCAAGTGGAATTATTGAGATTTTACACCTCAAATACTGGGAAATCCTGATATTAGGAGGAAAAAGAAGACCCAAGCTGAATTATTCAGATTTTACACCTCAAATACTGAGAAATCCTGATATTGGGAGGAAAAAGAAGAACTAAGTTGAATTATTGAGATTTTACACCTCAAATATTGGGAAATCCTGAAATTAAGAGGAAAAAGAAGAGCCAAGTTAAATTATTCTGATTTTACACCTCAAATATTGGGAAATCCTGAAATTAAGAGGAAAAAGAAGACCCAAGTTAAATTATTCTGATTTTACACCTCAAATACTGAGAAATCCTGACCTTAGGAGGAAAAAGAAGAGCCAAGCTGAATGATTCAGGCTTTCTCAAAGGCTGCAGGGTTCAGCCTCTTCCTGTATTTCCTTTCCTTCCAAGTCTTTAATTAGTTCTTTTGTTGGGATTATTTGTTAGGAATGCAAGAGAATCTTTGGATGTGTGTAAAGGGATGGGACTTTTCCCACAGAAAATGGCACGTCCCTGAAATATTACAGCTCTAAAGAAGTAAAATATACAAATTTGTACAAAATTAGAGATGAAAATGAGACTCGGCAAAAATTGAAGGTTTTTTTTTTGCCATAGGAAACTTTATGGAAGAGGCAAAAATTTAATTGAGTGTAGGAATCACTTTTGTTTTTCCTGCTGCACCCACAGAGCACTTCCCAGAGAAGATTTGTTTTTTGGTTTATTCTCCTCCACGGAGAGCCTTTGAAACAATTAAATTTTCTTCTGTTTGCCACACACAGGGAGAGGGGGAAAAAAAGAGGGGAAAAAAAAAACCTCCCTCAAAAAAAAAAAAAAAAAAAAAAATTTTACCCAGGATGAACAAACACCAGATTAAACATCTGATAATTAACAATTAACTCCGTGTCAAATCCATCCTCACTGCTTCCCACCTTATCAATCCCCAGTTCCTACAACGAAAAAAAAAATTTTTTTTTTTTTTTTTAATGTTTTAAATTCCGTGATTTGAATGTGTCTCACCTCCAGCCTGGCAGGTAAAGCTGATTTCTTGTAGAGGCGTGCCTGCAATTCCAGTAAACATTTTAATCACCTGGCAGGACCTGTTCTTGCACATCTTGAGTGCAGCCCCAGCAGATAACGTGGCTTTTATCTCCCACGAGGACTTTTGGGGAATCTAGGAACACCTTTTTGCCTCGTCCCACTCTGCCAGGGAAGCTGGAATGCTGTTAAAAAAAAAAAAATTTTTAAAAAAAATTAAAAAAAAAAAAAGGACTCATTGCTGTGCTGACCCTTTAAGGAACAGCTTAAATAAATAAATCTGATCATTTGGGGGTTTAAGGTCCCGTGGCACCCAAAGCATTTTGTGATTCCTTGATTAATTATTTAAAAAAAAAAAAAAAAAAAAAATGAAGTTGTTCTGTCCAGCCTTGAAAATTTCCAGGGATGGAGGAGCCTGGGAATGCCCAAAGAAAGGAGGATGGGGCTGGGATAGTGGGAAGGGATCCTGGAGGATTTTTGAG